GTGTACGGTTCGTTAACAAGTAGTAAAATGGACTGTAAGTCCAAGTATCGATTCCACGAGGATTGAGTTAGTTCTAATTAATCTAATATAACCTTAACCGAAACACGACAAGCAAATTGCGTTTTTGTACTTTAACTAATATAATGTAATCGTTGATGCAATTATGGACGAAGAATTATACTCAGTTCAAAGTAACTTGGATGCAATTTAACTAATATTTTATAGAATTAATGGATGTTCTAACTCACTAAGATCACGAATCCCCAAGCAGTACTCGTTCAATAGTCATTTATGCAAATTTGACACACAATTCCACAAAAGATGAATAGATATTCCTATTTTAATTTAGCTATCTCTTTCGAGCAATGCCAAACCTATCCCAATATATGATTCGATTATATTTCTATGACGAATACTAATATACCGACATGCATTATAATTCACGAATATCCAATGATTCACATAAGGTATAGAGGTATATTTCTATCCTCTATCGGACCCTATGATGATTTATACTATGTTGAACCTATTTTCTTTCTTTTGAATGCATAAAACAGGTCACCACAATCATATAATCACATGCACAATAATTATATGAAAATAAAAACGAAATAAATCAATCAATTCCGGAATTTGTGTTCACATACGTCAAAAATCCAAAACAACAATTAAACGTAGTATTACAAGGTTCATCGATCTCCTAGTAGTAATAAATCTAGCCTAACATGCTAAAAAGAACAAAACTTAAAAGTATTTCAAGAAACGACATCACCCGAATCAATATTCAATCCGATCTTCAATTGGCGCGATGTTGTTCTCTTGTTCTCTCCCTTGTTTCTTTTTCAAAATCTCCCAAAAATATGTAAAAATGGCGTCCCCTTCGTTCTGGTCAAGTTTTTGTATTTCTAGGACCTTAAAATCCTTGTTTCCATAAAAGTTTCGAAAGAAAATGAAACTAAATTTTTTTTCAACTTTTTGTTCTATGTGACCGCATAGAGCAATTCTATGCGGTCGCATAGAAGAAAATTTTCAGCCATCTTTTGTTTCGGTATGGTACTATGCGACCGCATAGAGGATAATACTATGCGGTCGCATAGTACTATCAACTCTAGAGAAATTGCATTTTGGTCCTCCAACTTGCATCCTTCACTTCTTAGCATCTTCTCTTTATTCTTTTCATTTCATCACCCTACGATATCGTCAATTGGTAATTGGCCTAATTGATTTCTTGATTTGTTCATCGG